GTACGAAAAAAGACATCACAGTGTAGAAATAAGGCAAGCTTTATCGCCGCCTGGGAATGTATTAAAAACTATAACATTCCCGCTTTTGGCGCAATGTACAATGCACAGCAACGCATTTTTTCCATTTTCTTTTTGAAAATGGTTCTGTAACAGGGTTGGGTTTATATCATTATATGGAACTTTGAATGGGAACTAGTATCATGGTACTGATACTAGAGCTTGACTTTGAATTTAAGTTTACTGAAGCGTGAGGTTAAGATTCAGTACTGACGTTCGATCCGTGCGGCCTACTATGTTTCTATGCAAAACTTAAAAGACATCCCTCGCAGCTAGACGGATTGGCCGCACTCCAATGTTGGTTTCTTCCAAGCATATTGGAAATGTGGAATAATATGATACTTCAAACCAAAAATTACATGCGCATACATGCCTCTTTGTGTATAAAAATCGTCTGAAGCTCTGTATAGGGCGCGCGCTATGCAGAAGCCCAGGCTCATATATGAAGTGTAGCAGTGGCATTCGGAAATATCGAGCAATCCATTTAACCGGGCTGAAGGCCGACTGCTAGGGGTGATTAACTACCATTCCAGCCAACGTCAGCATGCCTCTCTTCGGCGGCAGTGTGAAATCAGTCCGACAAATTAAATCCGGCCTCAGATTATTACATACTTCAGTGACTGTTCATAAATAACCTGCCGCCTGCCCTGCTAGCAACTAAATGGGGCTGCAGCTATGCTTAATGACGCCCTCGTGATCCCAATGATTCTCTTTTGTTAAACCGTGCGCGGTTAGAATGATTGAAAATATTCCTCGCAAATATTGCCAGTTTATTGGTTTCTTTCATCAGATGACGTCTTTGCCGTTTATATATACGTAGTACCTTATCATATTAAAGCCATACTAAGATCTACAGGGTGTTTCAGTTTATTGTTGCATAACTTTAAGATTCGATAGAACTTTTAAAATTAATGCATAAAGTCTATATAAACATGGGTCGAAAAATGAGTGGCTTCCGAAATACAGGGTGTTTAAATTTACTTTCTAAAATAGTTTTTTTTAAATATTTCGAACAATATTTGATATATAACAGTGAAAATTGGTATACAAGCGTTTTTTTGTACGACAAAACGAACCATGGGCATAGTTTTACTGTAGCCGCTAGAGGGCGCTCTCTACTGTACCTGTAGTGTATTAAAATGACCGAAAAATTTTTCTTAGTGCAATTTTTTGCTTTTTGAATAAAAAAACTGATTCTTCGCCCTTTTCAACATAAAATCGCTCTCCTGTGAGTCTTCGTTATAGTTTAGCCGTTTTTGAGATATTTCGATTTTTAAGGTTCGATGCACTTTTAATTATTTATGGGAAAATAATATTTTTTTTAAATTTTCGATTTGGGCAGTACAAGTAATTAAGATGATCGTTTAGATTGTGTTTTTAAACACAGCAATATTATTTTTAACAAATTAAATTAATTATTTACAACTAAAATGCTATTGGATAGTTATTACAAACATACAAAATCTAAAGTAGTTGCTCGAAATGTAAACCCAATTGTTCAATACACAATTCACATCTACGAATGATCGAACGTGGTATAGCATTATTCAAATAAGGCCTTATTTCATCACATGCATTCCTGATTCTGTCTATTAGCATATCTCTTGTGGTTACGGGAGTCTGGTACACTTTTTCTTTTAGAAATCCCCACACAAAGAAATCTAATGGATTTAGGTCAGGGGATCGTGGCGGCCAGGCGTACCAAAAAACCCTTGTACCGTCATTTGGGGTGAAATTGATCAAAATTTAGTTGCTTTTTCATATTTTTGTGGGGTTATTAGGAGAAATCTTCCAAACGAGGTGTAAATATATAGAAATAGTTGATAGGAATCGAACAGTAAAGTATCTCGAACTTCAAATTTAAAATATAAAAAATATACGGAAATAAAGTTGTGAACAGTCTCATCCACGTTTTGGGGTGAGATTGTTCACACACACTATAATCTACAGGCAGTTAGCAGACAAGGCCATCGATGATCAATCTTACCGCCAATGTTCTATCTCAAGTATTTTTGAAGTTACAGCTCTTTATAGTCTTGGGGGTGAAATTGTTCAGGTAGGGTGAGATTGATCATGGGATTTGTTCATCATAAATTGCCTTGTTTCCTCAAATTAAGACCAGTTAATCATTGTTGTTGAACATTTATTAATTTTGAAGTGAAAATACATGACTTTAAACAGATAAAAAACAAACCGTTTCTCCTAAATTTTAAATGAAAACGGAACTTGAAAACAAAATTCATAAGCTACTTCATTTCAAAAACGTCGACAACTTCTTCGAAGAAGTACTTGTCGATACCATCACAGGACGGATTTGGTAGAATTGCTAAGACATCAGACATATCTGATACAAATTCGTCACCGTCTTGAACCGCAAAAATCTTCTTGGATTTGTCTACAGACTTCATTCCCAATAAGTCAATTTCCTTTTTTCCTTCTTCGTCTACTCTCACCTGCTGTATAATAGCTATGTACCGATAGATTGTTTTTTTCCTTGATCCACCGTAAACCTTAACCAGCACAAATTTTCCAGCCACAAGTCCATTCACTGCTGGTTGGAAATATTGTGTCTCTGGTTCTACATCGTCATTTGTATCTTCCAGGGGATCTTCGTCAGAGTTGTCATTGGTCAGTGGCTGATCTATATCCGAATCGCTAGAATCTTCCTCAATACTTGCTGTTACGCTTTTGCCAGGTTCTACAGACAGTTTTTTTCTTTTTATATTCCTTCTTGATGGAACTGCTGTAAAATGCTGTTGTTGCAAGTAATTCACAAGAACGTTATTCACAGTGCCATCAGTATCATTGCCAATATCTTCACTTGGGATCTTCCGCAAGACTCGCTCAGGATCAAACGGCTCAACTCCTGTCGCTTGGAATGAAGCTATCAAATCTTTTTTAATAGCGTTTTCTGATTTTTCATCCATTTCTTTAAGAGCAGCAGCCAGTAAATGGGGAAAATCTTTTTTATCTATAGAAGTCTGTTGTGAATGCGTCTTCTTCCAGTTCAATAACATTGCTCTCCATGCAATTTTGAATGGACGGAAAAATCCAACATCAAGGGGCTGAGTAAGATGAGTTGAATTTTTTGGAAGACAAACAAAGGCAATGTCATTTTCTTGGCATAGTTTCAAGACAGTATCCGTGAAATGAGACGAGAGATTGTCACCCAATAGCACTTTGCGACCCGGTAAGCGTTTTGCATGTGGTAAGAATGTCATCTCAAACCAGTCTGTGAATGTCTGGGCGTCGATCCACCCATGGTGGGTTCGATTGTAACGCGAACCTTGAACACAACATCTTTCAGCACAACAAGGCTCACCTTTTGGACCCAACTCAGTCCATTGCTGCCACATTTTTTCTGCCTTGTAGATGATGTAAGGAGGCAATAGTACACCAGTGGCCGAACCACATATCATAATTGATATTGCTGTCTTTGTAAAGTTGCATATACGTTCTGGATACTTGGTTCCACGTCGAAATAGCATTTTTTGCTTTCCAGGGTCGTCTTGCACATTTGTCTCGTCGTAATTAAACACATTACAGGCTGGGACATTTTTCAGCGTTTCTCTCATATTATCAAAATATTCCACGATGATATCACGTGAAATATTTGCACGGGACCTTTTAATATTCGCTGACACTTTTTGACTGATCTCTCCTTTGTGTCTTTCTAGAAGAGAACGAACCCAGTCAATCCCAGGCATATTTGATTTGAACTTGCTAATATTGCGACCTTGGCTATCTAAGTAATTTTTTGCTAAGTATCGTAAGTCAGTTATTGTAAGAGGAAATCCCCACTCTCCACAGCAGTTTGCTGCCTTTATAAATGCTTTTTCTTCGTTAAATGTAAATACTGTTTGACCTCCACTTTTCTTAACATGGCTGCCAACGTATTTATAGCGAAGTGTGCCAAATGGGATTCTATATTCAGCTGCAGCTCGACGAATAGACCAATCTTCTTCAGCAATCTTTTGAAGTGCTAATTCGACCTTGACATCGGGATAATCCTTGTAGGAACGTGCTCCTAGTCTTCGTTGGTACTTTCTTGGCATGACTGAAACATGCAACGGAATATTAGATGAATCAAGCAGAATTAGGTTACATTCAAATATATTTATTACGTGGGGTGAGATTGATCAGTTGACAAATCTCGCCCCATATACGTGATCAATCTGACCCCACCTAACAAAACGACAGATAAAATCAAAATGGTTGAGCCGATAGTTAACACCAAAACACACGAAGGCCTCAAGGCATAGACATACATATATATTTGGTCGAAAATATAAAAACCTACTTAAATTTTGACTTACCTGACAAAGTTCTGGATGATCACTTTTACAGAAAAATACTAACTCCTAACAACTTGCAGTTTTTTCATCAAATACGGAGCCGTTGTAGTTCACGTGTGCATATCGCAATCGGCCATCTTTCTACTGTCACTACCAGTCGATAGGGGTGCGTTCGTACATTTGATTTTGGCGCTAAATTCAAATACATAAATTGATGATTTGGTGAACAATGTCACCCCGGATGATCAATTTCACCCCAAATGACGGTATACCAATTTTCACTGTTATACATCCAATATTATTCGAAATATTTAAAAAAAACTATTTTAGAAAGTTAATATAAACACCCTGTATTTCGGAAGCCATGTTTATATAGACTTTATGCATTAATTTTAAAAGTTCTATCGAATCTTAAAGTTATGCAACAATAAACTGAAACACCCTGATACAGATGTTGGCGTTGACAGTTCTGATTTTTTTTTTCATTCTCTTTCTGTTTTCGGACGGATTTGGTTTGGTCAATTCTGTTACTACGTAACTGGCACTAAGGAGACCTCAGGCAAGGCCATATGCTTGGGTATTTGGCAACAAAGTCCTCATACCAAGGAGGTCCCAAGGTACGACTGTACATTTGGCCCTGAGACAGTATTTTTTAAATTGATCCATTTCGAAAATCCTCCTAATTTATATTCAAGAATTTCCTTATAGCACGAATATGGAACTTCCTCGCCTGTACGACGAAATTATCGTCAGCTAGGTCGCTATCTCTGAGGTCGACATGGTGTGCAGCCCTTGGAATGGTGACAGCAAGAATATTGGATGAGACGTTGGCCAGTACTCCTCCAACAGACCAGGGATCCATTAGACCATTGCTGAAGACGATGTTAGAGAAATATCTGGGAAGAAGAAAAATTATCAATCAATGATCATCTAATTATATATTAAAGAAGCAGTTAGTCCTTAGTTCTTTCTACTATCAGAGATACTTTTGTCGAGTATTTCCCATGTTTGGAGGTAGTTAGTAGAAACGGGATTCAAACGGTTCAAACTACATGTTGTCGATTTATTCATGGACTGAGAAAATATGATCATGTTTCTGAAAAAATTTTGAACTTGAATTGGTTTAAAATTCCCGTTAGTTTTAAATACGATTTGCTAATTTTTGTTCATGAATTAGTGAATCAATCCACATCTCCGCCTAACCTCAAGAACAAATAAATTTTTTGATCCAATATCCATAATCTAGATATAAGAGGTTATTTATATCTGGCTATGCTTTTCTATAGAAGCGTCACGTATCAGTGATGTAAAGATCCTTACAAAAGAAACAAATGCTTGCACTGACCAATATGAATCAAATGAAACTATAGAGAAAAACGACCTTAGTGCTTCAAAACTTTCAGCTTCTGAAGACAGGACCCGGCCTCATAGAAGTCCTAAGATATTTTACCACGCCTTTTTTTATAAATATGAGGTAATGGTGGTGTTATTCCTCTTTCCTCTTTTTTTGTTTAAATACAGGGTGTCCGCAAAGTTGGGGTTTTCCTTTTCAGAAACAACTACCCTTGAAATAACAAAGGTAATGTGTAGTGAAACGAGGGCGACCAAGTAAAAAAAAAATAAAGGAAAAAGTACTCACTCTCCAGTTGACGAGAAGGGCTAAGTACGTCTCTGCCCGAAATCATACCGCTCCAACAGAAAATGAAATCAGCTGATGCGCTACCGAGCAGACGCCGGCGGTGGTGCAGACCACGAACAGAGGTAACAAATATGACCATCGTGCAGAAACCACATTGATTGTCTTACACTTAATGGCACATCTTCTAACAAGGAAGGCAAAATGTTGCGTAAAAAGTCTAGGTATTGCATCCCGTCCAATCGATTTGGGAGAATAAATGGTCCAATGAGCATACCGTTCACCATGCCAGCCCAAACATCACCGAAAATGTTTGTTGAAAATGTGCCCGACGGACAGCGTGCGGATTTTCTACCGACCAAACATGAGTGTTGCGAAAGTTATTCACTCCATTACGCGTGAACGTAGATTCGTCTGTCACCGATATGCGCTTCAAAAAGTCCGGATTATTGTCATGTTGTCACAAAACCGCACTCTTGCTGGAAAATCGTCAGGTTGAAGGGCTTGTACACGTTGGACGTGAAACGGATACAGCCCCTCTTCACGCAGCGTTTGCCACACTTTAGTTTTTGATACTTGCACTTCTCTAGCCACGTCTCTAGTGCTTGTTGTTTTTTGAAACGCGTGACTGTAACCGTCGGTTGAAGGTTGCATACTGACCTGACACACTGACCCCGACCCAGTTCTGTCGTCGGGTTGAGCTAGTGTACTAGTACCACTCGGGGATGTCGCGAGTCGCGGCTACAGGACGGTATTCAGATATTTTTGATGTTGCAGAGCCCTTTATCTCGGTTCCCTTAAGACATTGGTGCATATGGTACTGAGAAAAATTGCTTATGTTTTCAAGATCTACACGTCGTGTAAAAGAAAACCCCAACTTTGCGGACACCCTGTATATATTAATAAATTAGTAAATTACTATAAATGAAATCTAAGGGTCGGCCAATGCAAAACAGCTGTAAAGTGGCGTGCAAATTTAAACCCTAGCTCAATAAGTCGGAGAGTAGGGGGGGGGGTATACAGAGAGCCAGATAAAACAAGATATTAAAAAAAATCACAATATGTTAAAACAAGCAGCACATATGCGTCACAAGGTTGGGGCTGCATGCCTCGTTTCCAAAATTTACGGTATAAAAAAAATCCTAGAGAGAGAAATACTGTTTAAACATCTACTCTCTATTCTCTGTCTGAGACAGAACTAAACATTTAAAAGACTCAAAACTTGAAGAAAAATCCATGTGTATTCTCTTTTACAAGAAAACTAATTTAAGAAAAGATAAAAATTTACAAAGTGATACACCCTCAGAAACGTATCCTTTGTTCTAAAATAAGTTATGACAGCTCAAAATTCAAAATAATGATTAATGTAATCTAAACAGTCCAAAAGACAGTGACATGTAGACACTACCCTGTATTTGAATACGTGAAATGCCGAACAAAATCAAGAACACTTTAAGAATTTCAGTCAGCAACAATCAATATATTAATATCTACAAAATACTCAATTAAAATGATGTTTTACCTGTTCACATCAGGGTTTTTTATCAAGGGGAAGAAATGGCCTTCAACAAAAATGGCTCCGAAACAGCTACAAGGCAGCTACAAAAAAAAGCTGGAGGAGTGTGAATGGTGGTTCTCCACAATGGTTTTCCACTAAAGGAAGCAGATATTGAACAAACTTCTTCAGGACAAGCTTTAATGGACATAGTTCGATGGTATACATAAGAGAACTTACCGCTGGCGGTTGAAATCTACTACACAACTAAACGTAAGGTACAAAATAAAAGGGTACAACTCCATAAACTGGTGCTTGGGGCGTTAATATCCCAAAATCTGGAAGTTAACGAAAAAAAAAATGCCCGCACACAACCAAAATCACAGCGGCAAGAAAATGGCTCTGGACCGTCTGCGTACGCAACCCCTTGTATAAGTGGCCCTGTAGAACATCAAAAGGAACAGATAAATGCCGGTAAAGAAGGTATCTTGATAGTAAGGCAAATTTTAACAGAAGGTATCTTGATAGGAAGGTAAACATTCATATACGGCTAGTGCTTGTAAAAATCACAAGATGGCGCGCTGCTTGCCTATGGAGAGACTGTAGGCAGAAACAAATCTGTCTGATAGAAGAAAGATTTCAATACAACACTGAGTCGCTCAGAATGACCGATATAATACGTGTGAAATTCTACAATCAATAAACTATGAAATTTGACAACAGAAAATCATTGAAAAAGGTTTGGTCTAAGAATCGGTATCCTACTATTCATGAAGAAAAATTAAAATTACTCATAAGTGATCAAAACAGTAAAACGAAAGATTACGTGATTTTAGCACGTGACAATTTTAATAACTTTTAATTTCGACAAGCTTCTTTCATCTATTGCAGTTGTAATCTGGAGGGTTACAAATAGATATCATGCTATTATCATCTGGCCGTACAATCTGAGTTTCTTGTCACTATACTAAGTGACATATAAATCCGAACACCCAGTTTAAATGGTTTTATTTTAATAAAATTTTGTATAAGTACTTAATGAAGCACAATAAGTAAATGATAAAAATTTCAAAATGATTGCACTGCTTTAAAGCCCTTTGACCTTTAATAATGTGTGGATGCACCCTGATGTGCTACGCATTCTCCAACGCGACTAGGCATGCTTCTGATCAGGTGGTCAATGTCCTCCTGTGGTATCTCATTCCAGGCAACCACCAACTCCTCTCGAAGTGCTTCTAGAGTCTGAGGAGGACGTTGCGAATTGAGCAATCTCCTACCCATCATATCCCACAGGTGCTCAATTGGGGATAAGTCGGGAGATCTTGGTGGCCATGGTAACAATGTGACATCATTATGTTGAAAGAAGTCTATTGTGACTCTTGCAACCATGTGGTCGGGCATTATCTTGTTGGAAAGTTGGATCTGCCAGGGTGTCAAGATAGGGTAAAAGATGGGGTTCTAGAACTTCGTGGATATAACGCTGCGCGTTCATGTTACCTCTGATGAAGATTAAAGGTGACCTGGAACCATAAGCTATAGTACCCCAAACCATAACTCCAACAGTGTGATCAACATGTCTTTCAACAAAAAACTGTGGATTCCTCCTTTCACCACGTCGCCTTCTAACCCTGGCACGACCATCGTGCATGCCTAAACAAAATCGAGACTCGTCACTAAAGACAATACCGTTCCATTCCTGATCCCAGAGTGACCGTTGTCTGCACCACTCAAGGCGATTACGTCGGTGTTCTCGAGTTAAAGGGAGGACCCAGTGTGGCCGGTATGAAAACAAGCCAAAACTTCTCATTCGTCGGTAAACACTTCGCATGCCAATAGGTCTTCCGTGTTCTGCAAACCATTCATTTGCAATGGACCTGGTAGTGGAGAAACGTTCCCTTAAGGCCAATAATCTTAGGCGGCGATTTTCACGGTCTGTTGTTCTACGGCGGCGTCCAGTGCCCCTTGCTCTTTGCGTACGGCCTTCTCCAAGCCATGCCTGACAACACCTAACCACAGTGTCTACACTTCTTTGCACTCTAACTGCAATTGCCCGAAAAGAAAGTCCAGCTTCCCGAAGTCCCACTATACGGCCCCTATCAAACTCACTAAGTTGACGAAATCGTACAGGTCTCCGTACTCTAGGCATCGTAACCGATCGGAAAGGATGTCAAGAACCAAAATCCGCCAACGTTGATTCTTTACTGCGGCTGAAATATTCATTTTTAGAGCGTTAGTGAATTAAAAAAAGCAGTATAAAAACCGGAATGTCGAACTGATAAGGCTGAACATTTTTTCACTTGTTATTTACAGTAAGATAAATACATTCACCAACTTTTATTAAAATAAAACCATTTAAACTGGGTGTTCGGATTTATATGTCACTTAGTATATTTGGATTTGGGGTCTGAAGAAACACAATTTCCTATCTCTTTGTAGAGCCCTGAAGAAAGAAAGAAATTTTTATGGAACGACTGCAACTTTACAAGAGGAAATTGTGTTTGTTGAGGCCCCAAATCCAACTAAATAGAAGTAATTTATATAAGAGGGGTCATTAGAACAATAGTTTGCTGTATAATCTAAGGTTTAAGTTTATTAAATGGTTAACAGACACTAAAAATAGGATCGGACCTATTTCTGATCCTTGAGGTACCCCTGCTTTTATATTTAATTCGTAAGTACAATATTTTGATGTCCTTACACTTTGTAGTTGCAGTACAACCATATTTGTGTTGGAAAGAGCATAGTGTCATCGTTATTCAAAACCCGTGATCATGTCATGAATCCAAATCACTGATATCAAAAAGTAACGATATCAGATGTGACCGATATTAAAAAATTACTATATCTGTCATCTCTACATCTAATCGCTTTTTTGAAAAGAAAAAATGATCCACATAGACTTGAGCTACGCATGTTCCATTTGAACATATCAAAATTTAAAGTTTTGTTGCTGTAGAATAGTGAAAATGTTCACCACCAAAAATATCGTCAAGTAGGCTGACTCTTCACTTCCGATGTAACGCTGCAATTTTAAATATTAAAATGCGGTATATCTATACTAACCGTAAATTTTTTCCGCCATACTCTTGCACAATCCAGTCTGGTCTCCAAGGCCACACACCTACGTCCCTATAGCACTTCTCAGAATACCTCTTCAAATCCCATTTCGCATTCTCAAACATATCGGCATCCGTAGAGCACAGGGGCATGACAAGTTCGGTACACACTTGGTACCTCCATGCCCGTTTTCTAGAATCATCTGCAGATGAATTCACGTCGTGACACTTCAGCTGACCAGAATAGTTCGTGTAGATTTGGAAAGCCTGGTTCAGTACTTCCAGCAAGGTCCTGGTATCGTTCGTGTTGGCCCCGTAAAGTTTGTTGCAAAAAACCCGGACTGGGAATGCGGGAAGCGGTTGCAGGAACTTTGAAGGGTAAGGGTAGTTCGCCATCGCTAGGTTTACGTAGATGTCGCTTAGCCAATCGACGAGTTTGTCTATCTCGGTAGAGCTTATGTTGTGACATAAGCTCCAGGATTTCGACAGTGTCAGTCTACCTTCAAGGAGAATATACACACAGTTAAAAATGGTCCTATTGAGATTCTAAGGGCCAATTTCACCAACATTAATATTATAGACCAATGGTAAAATACCTTATCGAAATGCAATTTGACAGAAGCTGTCAAAGGTCTCAGAATATCAGTGATTTCTATTAAAATATTGAATAAAATCGTGAAAATTCGACTGTATTATATACAAGACCACTTTTTGATTCCAACATGATGCTTTTGTACAGAAAAAACAGGACAACTTTCATGTATTTTGATATATGTTATAGGTTTACATTTAACAATCCGTTATCACCTCAGCGAATGGGAATGGGAGAAATAATAGGTCGATCTTCTAGCTGTTAAATTTGGCAGCAGGTTTGGTCGTTTCTTAATGCATGACACTCTCGAATTTACCAACTTCAATATACTGAAAGTTATCATTACATACCTGTTGAATAATGTGGATTTGTCTGTATTTTGCAAGAAAAGAGAATATAAAATACATTCCGTTCAATTCCTCATCTTCCTTTACGTCATAATAGTAATCAATTATTAATTTATGGGTTAATGAATTTCTTCAAAGCAATAAAAACATTATGTCCTCTCCATCCTAAAACAAAGATAATATGTGTAAGACGTGTCAATCCCTACATCTCCCTGATGCATAATGCAATTACTATGGACATAGACAAAAAATTATGAAAAATGTTCCACAGATAATGGCTTTTAAGTCCAAAAATCAGAAAAAACTAGTAATGTTTATTGTTTGTCTATTTTTCTTTTTTGACTGGCAGGGGTATCTATCTGACACGCGCAGGGTTGCCAAGTCTAACGACGATCTCGTCTTGTGGTGGAGGTTGCAAAATGAATCTTTTACATTTGCTGGTTTTGAATTTTTTTCGTGAAAATTTACTGGGTATCATGATTATAAGCATCTTTGGTAGATTTCAACAGTTGGCGGAACTTACTCCACTGGGACCAGGAGGGTGAAACGGGATATTAATGCACAATCTGGCAACCCTGTCGCATCCTCACAAAATGGCCGCTGACAACCACACAAGTCACCGTGTTGTCATTGAATAGCATGGAATTAAACCTTCAGAGTATATGTTTTGTGACTGGTAAAAAGAGTTGACAGATCCCACACATGTGTCACTCCTTGAAATGCAATAATCAGCTGTATTCAAATAATGTCTAATATAAATATAACCTAGAATGTGTACTCGTGAAAAAAGAAAAATATGGCAAATTTGTAGTTTTTTTTTTGGAGGTTTTAGGTTTGCTGGTAGCTTTAAGGCATATATTTGGGAATTTCTTAATCGCTGTGAATATAGTGTGGATGTTTGTTCAGTTCCTGAACAACGAAAAATATTCAACTTTATGGATGTATTATTATATGTAATTTCTTATTATTCAATAAGCTGGTGATGTTTCAATGACAAGCTGTCATCTCATACTTTGACAGTATTTTGTTTTCAGCATTTCATAGCTATTGGTTGCTAAAATTTGTTGAACTTGAAGCTCATTCGTTGCATTCGACGGTCTGTTACCCTATAGGTGGAGAATAACGGACTTTTATTGGTGAAATTGGCGCTAAGAGTAGCATTTTTGAGCTTCAGATGTCTAGCCTTTGGATCTTTTAGTCAAAAAAAGATTCTTAATGAGTGTTTTAGTATAATTGTAGTGAAATTATTATTGGCGAATCATTGTTTAATGCATGGTGAATCCCAATAAAAATTTCTCCTGTATCAAAAGTTCGAAGATATATACAAATTAATATGCTTTCGAAGGGTTAGCATACGAACGAATCATTGAAACCATTAAAAAAATTTTGTTTACAAAGTTTCAAGCTGGAAAAATATTCTACAGAAACAGCAATCCAAATGATGGTGCAAGACTGGAGAAGAAGTATAGATGAGAAATAATGTATACTTTATCTGAAGTCACTTGAAATAGCATAAAAACCTTTGGTCGGCGCGTCCTTTGTAATTTCATGACGTATCATAGGCGTGCGGTCATTTATTTAGAACGATAATAATAATGTTTTTATATGACAATAAATGGATTTTACTATCTTCTTATTTTTTTGATTTGGGATAAAAAATACTTATATTGGGAGTTTAATTTATGTTGACTGAAAGTTAAGAAATGGAAAAATTACAGAATTCCAACGTTTGACATAGGCAAATATTTACATAGCAGGTAGGTATATAAAAAGGTATATAAAAACTTACATTATAGGTATTTATATATCATCCTTGCCTTCGGAGCTGTCGCTAGAGTCATCTTGTAGAGGAATTACAACGGGATTTAAAGGAGGCAAAACACAATATTCATTTTCTTTTTCAATAATATGCCTAGAACACTGCTTCCATAGGTCTGTGGTAGCAATATGAGATACTGCATCTCTTATTGTGGCCAATAGCGATTCACTTAATTGAGGGGTCTGATTATGTTTTCTTACTTTTTTTTTTTAAAGCAGCCCAGACCAACTCAATCGGGTTAAAAATGCAGTAATAGGGAGGTAGACGTAATACTTCATTTAATAAGATCCAATAATATGGCTTTGGTTGATTTTTGTGGTATTTCCATTCCCTTATCCTTCATAAAATCAATAATGTCTTGTTTTTTTGTGCCTGTATTCGGAATTTTGTTTTTTTGTCGGGAATGGTATGGCGCATTGTCCATAATAAGCACTGAATTTGGGGAAATGTTTGGTATTAACTGCTGCTCTATCCACTTTTCAAATAAGTCGGAGGTCATGCCCTCATGATAGTCGGCACATGATTCTTTGATATTTTTGGCAGATAACAGCAAGGCATTAGGTATAAATCCATTTTCACTGCCAGCATGGAGAATAATGATTCGTTTTCCACGGTTGCATGGTGCATTTAAAATGCACTTGTTGCTGTCGTCAACCCAGCCGTACTGCACAACATCATGGGTATCATACCACGTTTCATCCAGGTAAATCAGATTTCTTTTCTGCTCTCTATAGATTTTAACTTAGTGCAAAAATTCTTGGCGCAATTCAACGATTCGAGACGACTCCATAATCACCATTCTTTTATTTAATTTTTTGTATTGAAAACCACACAGTTTTACAATACAGTGCAGTGAGTCTAAGCATTTGTAATTATAAAAATCTTCAGGATAATCTTTTAATTTATCCCGTATCATGTCCAACGTGGGCACCAAATTTTCTTTATAAAATCCGTATATTATACGACGAATATCTTCCTGAAAACCCACGTCTATTCTTTTTAATTTTTGCCCTATGCGCTTTCTGTGGAAGGAATGGTTGACTACATCTCCCCTTTTTATAACCCGATAAATGGTAGACCGACTGATTTTTGTCAGAATACAAATTCTGTTTAAAATTTGATTTTGCGAGGAATCTGGATTTTCGTTTTTCAGACAATCATACATATTTAGGATTCTTTGGGTCTGTTCCTCTAAATCTTTATGAAAGAATTCTGCCTGCACAGGTTCATCAACCATCTCCTCGTGGCTTGGAGCATTTTCCCAAGGTCTCCAAAGAGCCATATTTAGGACACACAAGAACAATCAACACAACAATTAAATCAACAAGTAAACTGAGTATTCAAAAGTCAAAAAAACACAAACTAATAAAATCTATGAAAAAACACGGACAGACTAAAGAAAACACGTTTATTCACCGCTACACGGCACTGGCTAAACTGTTTCAATTTTCAGTAGCCACCTGCACTTGTTCGGAGCTCTGAAATACACGCTTTCTCATTGGCTATGTCCACGCATAGGCGTGCTTTACTCCACGTGGACCGGTGAAACTGCCTTTGATCTCTTATACTCTATACTCTTATATTTGCTGCGAAATTTGGCGATTTTTGCAGCAACAGAGCGTGTTAAATATAGATATATAAAACGCACCCGGTATTTCACAGTGTTTCAAGTGACTTCAGATAAAGTATACTGCAACACTATTTTTAGATTTCAAAATTTTTTCAAACTTTGAATTTGAGCAAAGCTATTTTGAAGTAGTTTGGAATCCAAAAGCCACTAATACCACCAACCTTTTTCTTCTTTAGTAAGATTCCTGATAATTTTCCAAGACATCTTAATAACGTCTACACATTCGTCGCCTCCATACGTTTCAAAAACGTCAGTAACTTTCTGGTAAAATTTCTCACACGGCACTTGATTTGAAAAATACCAAATGGGAGCTGAAGCAGCTACAGCTCCGCAAACTGAAGTTGGGTATTTCATTCTTAACCATGCTGCCAACATCCCACCATATGATCCTGGAATATAATAAACAATAATTTCCAGTTGATGATGAGTGATACAGTTTTTCGTGATGTAGATGTCATATAAGTTAAAAAAACATAATATCCCATTTTAGAAATTTTTCGCGATTACAATATTTCCTCGCCAATGACGTGCGAAGTAAAATGGCTTTAAAATCGAGGAGTATCAGCGATCGCGATTATGAGTACCTATTATCTGAATACGTCCTTTCTTCGTCCGTACATTGCGCCGCAACGCGTGGTTTGGCAGCACGAAACAGTAGACACAATTCGTCCAAAATACGATTTGTATAGGTTTGCGCGCTTCGAAATTGACGCTTTATTTTTTGATATTTTTGGATGACATTTTCACAGAGTACTGAAAACAAAACCCCACAAGGTGCTATAGAGCCACTTTTCCATTTTTTTCACTAGGTTCTTTTTAAAAAAATCGCGAAGTTGAACAGAAAAAGCGCGCACTTCAACCCATCATAAAACTTGTCCAAAAAAAAAATTTCAAAAAGTGCTCCTATAGCACCCTGGGCAATTATCTTCTCAACGTAACTGTATGAATTTCATTCAAAAATATTGAAAGATGCGGTGTCAGTTTTGAAGCAGCTGAACCCTTGTAAATGGCTTGAAACTCGCTGCGTCGCAGCCGCCTTAAGGAGACAAATCTTAAAAACCTCGGACTGATGGCAGCTTTGTGTGAGAAATGCACAGTCAACCTACATGAAGCAACTTTTTTCATAATAATTCTCGAATTGAGATACTTAGATGTGTCAAGTTTGGTTCGTAATGAAGGACGAACATTTTTCGCTTAAAGCCATAGGGTAAACCGGTGAAATACGCCTCACCGGGGAATACGCCCCAGTGTCACCGTAACAAATTACGTCCGGCAGCAGTTACCTTAGCCACCGCCATTACGTTGCTGTCATACTCCAGAAAGTCGGCCGTGTGTGTTTATGCCAATTTATTGCGTTTTATTTGAAAAAAATATGCATTACTGTCATCTAGAGCCCATAAAATTTTAAGGTATGTAATATTTTTGTTTTATTTTAGAATGTCTTGCAAAATTTTTATAGTTTTGGGATCACTTTAGACAAACACAATTTCTAACCTATAAATTGCGCCAATTCCGCCTCGGTTTGCATTTCATGTTAGCTTGATAACCGGTGGGGCGTATTCCCCCGCGTTTCGGAAATACGCCCCAGTAAAATTCGTGTAAAACGCCCCACCCAATGGTGTGAGTTTTAGTTAATTTAGGTACTTTTGGTTTACAGAATATGGGTAGAGTATATGTTCGCAAAACCACCCGTGCTGCATTTAGTGAAGAAGCATTGGCAGAGGCTATGCAAAAGGTAATTTCAAGAGAAATGGGCACAAATGAAGCAAGTAGAGCGTATGGGATTTCATCTCGTACTTTACGAAGGCATTTGATCGCCAAGTCTTCAAAAGTACGCTTAGGCCGTTGTCCAGAAATAGGAATAGAACACGAAAGAAGGCTAGTCTTACATATAAAGGCCCTTGAAAGAGTTGGCTTTGCACCAGATGCTACTTCTGTTAAAAAAATGGCATTTTCATTTGCAGAGAAGCTTCATTTAAATCACCGATTTTCCAGAGAAGCCAAATCAGCTGGGGATGATTGGTTTCAAGGGTTTTTGCGACGTAATAGAGAGCTTAGTATCAGAAAGTCAGAAGGGCTCTCACTAGCTAGGGCAACAGGAATGAACAGAACAGATGTTAGCAATTTTTTTACTCTTTTGCGCGATGTCATCATAAAAAATAACTTGCTTAATAAACCAGATAAAATATTCAATGTCGATGAGACAGGCATTCAGATTAACAACAAGCCTGGGAAAGTAGTAGCAACTAAAGGGACAAAAGATGTTTATTCATTGACAACATCAGAAAGAGGAGAAAATATTTCCTTAGTTTCATGCTGCAACGCAGAAGGTTACTTTTTGCCACCTGTTTTAATATTTAAAGGAAAGAACAAAAAAGATGAATTTTTGGATGGTCTTCCTCCCGGATCCGGTGTGCTAATGAATCCAAAATCATCCTACATTAATTCAGAATTATTCCTAAAATGGTTTAAAGATTACTTTTTGCCAAAAAAAGGCAATGGGAAAGCCTTATTAATATTGGACGGGCACGCATCCCATTGTAATGCTATTGAGCTATTAGATTTAGCTAATGAAAATGAAGTAGTTATTTTGTGTCTCCCCAGTCATACGACACAAGTTCTTCAACCCTTGGACAGGTCTTTTTTTAAGCCACTTAAAACTTATTTCTTTCAAGAAGCAAAAAACTGGATGATTCAAAATAAAAATAGAAAGCTATCCAGAATAAATATTTCGAGATTAATTGGGAATGCATGGGGAAAAGCGGCAACCGTCGCGAATGCCACATCTGGGTTCAGAGCTTGTGGTATTTATCCATACAATCCTCAGGCCATTCCAGAACATTTTTTCTCCATTTCGGACGCCAGTATCTCAGCCGCTAGCGCAAATAAAGCTCTTCCTTCAACATCAAATCATTCTAATTTAACTCCAGGGCCAAATAAAGCTCAACCTTCTACTTCCTTCTCTCCTGGACATACAAACATGGGTGTTTCTGATATGTCTACCGATTCTCAAACCTCCAACGAAGCCTCAGAAGTTTCATTAAATTTAGAAGAAAAAGAAACTCCTTCAAAATTTTTAAGAGAAGATAACCCAATTCCTCTAATACCTAATACAATTCCGAAAAGGAAACAACATGCTTTAGAACTGACGTCTCCTGAAAATCGGGTTAAAAGACGAGTATTCTCAGAGAAAAAAAAACAAGCTCAAGATAAAAAAGACAAACGAAAAAAGCCGAGCGAAAATGAGAAAAAAATTAGGAGGAAAGCCTGCGTTAAACAAGTTAAAAGAAAACAAAATGTATCAAGGTCGTCTTCGTCGGAAACTGAACCACATTTTAGCTCCTCTGAAGACTTATCTGATGACACTGATGATTACTGCCTTGAATGTCGCGAATACTACTACACCACCAAATCTAAGGTTGACTGGATTCAATGTGAAGCATGTAGTAAATGGTTACATGAAACCTGCACGAACCACACAAACATGTGTAATCTTTGTGCCACGAAAAAACGTTAATTTTCTACTAGGGGCGTATTTCACAAGTTTCGGGCAAATACGCCCCAAATGCTTTTTTTTTTAAGTTTGGTTGTTTGTAACTTTTCTTAACCTTAGTGAGAAATTATGTTTATATTAGAGAAAAACGATGTTTAGTTGCTTTGTTTTTGTATTAATGAATAAAAAAATTGGTTTATTATGTTGGTGATTTCCATTTTCCAAAATGTGGGGCGTATTTCACCGGTCTACCCTACTTAAAAAATCTTAACTGGTATCGTGGGTGAATTGGATACGAAATTTCGATTCTTAGGCCTGAATTTGGCATTGGGACAAACGAGAAAAACTAAAATTATCTAGGATTACAGTATTAAAAGACAGGAATGACATACATACCTCCTAAGGCTACAAAAGGAAATGTATCGTTGCTTATCATCGACTTGAAATATTCCTTCCTGAGCTCCTCTATAACATAAGCGAAATCCGCTAACGCCTGACTGGTGGAAAGATACTTCATATTTTCAGGAGTTCTCAAGGACTGGTTTCCAAAAGGCATTGACTGTCCATAGTACCTAAGAATCAATAACTTATACTATTGCCTTTTTGTTGTGCATTGGAATCAAACTATCAGACCTGTGCTCAACAAAGACCACAAGAGAATCCAACACGGACGCAACATCGTGAATAAATCCAGTATTTTTTGCAAAAAGTTCAATGTCGGCTTCATCGCCGGTATACACTAACACTGGACCCCCTTTGATATGGTGTTTCGTTGTGACCAGGTATCTAAGCTTGAAGGTTTTGTTGCTGGAAAACGTGAAGTGATCCAAAGGAACGTCTAACCATTTGATGTCGTATGAATGTTCTGCCAGCGCGAAGTATAAGGCTGTTTGGAGTAAAATCAATGTAAAAAACATGTCATGATACAATATATAAGGTTGATTACGCAAATTGTCATTGTCAGCAGTGTCAATTTAAGGGCAATAAGGTACCTAAGTACCTTATTTTGAGAAATTAAAAGTTATGTTTCACGTTGAAATCACGTTTATTGCTTATTTCGATTAAAATGGTGCAATAGGTTTTTTGAGAAACAATATGCTTTTAGATGGGCATGTGTTTTTGCTATAGATATCGCAAAGGTATACGGCAAAGTATGTTATCAGGATCTGATCTACGAGTACAAGCTTATTCAAGTAAATTTCCCTTTTTGACTAACCTAAGGCCCGTATTAATATAATATACTAAGTGACATATAAATCCGAACACCCAGTTTAAATGGTTTTATTTTAATAAAAGTTGGTGAATGTATTTATTTTACTGTAAATAACAAGTGAAAAAATTTTCAGCCTTATCAGTTGAACATTCCGGTTTTTATACTGCTTTTTTTTAATTCACTAACGCTCTAAAAATGAATAATTCAGCCGCAGTAAAGAATCAACGTTGGCGGATTTTGGTTCTTGACATCCTTTACGATCGGTTACGATGCCTAGAGTACGGAGATCTGTACGATTTCGTCAACTTAGTGAGTTTGATAGGGGCCGTATAGTGGGACTTCAGTTCATACCGTTTCACTATGTCCATTTAAACTTGAAACACTCTGTATATGTTTCCGGTGCCTCTCTTTCATACCATAGTAGTACATTTTAACCAGGGTCAGTGGTTATAAGAAACCTGATTATGGAGAAATTGATGAGTAAATATATACTAAGTGACATATAAATCCGAACACCCAGTTTAAATGGTTTTATTTTAATAAAAGTTGGTGAATGTATTTATCTTACTGTAAATAACAAGTGAAAAAATTTTCAGCCTTATCAGTTGGACATTCCGGTTTTTATACTGCTTTTTTTTTAATTCACTAACGCTCTAAAAATGAATACTTCAGCCGCAGTAAAGAATCAACGTTGGCGGATTTTGGTTCTTGACATTCTTTACGATCTGTACGATTTCGTCAACTTAGTGAGTTTGATAGGGGCCGTATAGTGGGACTTCGGGAAGCTGGACTTTCTTTTCGGGCAATTGCAGTTAGAGTGCAAAGAAGTGTAGACACTGTGGTTAGGTGCTGTCAGGCATGGCTTCGAGAAGGCCGTACGCAGAGAGCACGGGGCACTGGACGCCGCCGTAGAACAACAGACCATGAAGATCGCCGCCTTAAGGGACCGTTTCTCCACTACCAGGTCCACTGCAAATGAATGGTTTGCAGAACACGGAAGACCTATTGGCATGCGGAGTGTTTACCGGCGAATGAGAAGTTTTGGCTTGTTTTCATACCGGCCACACTGGGTCCTCCCTTTAACTCGAGAACACCGACGTAATCGCCTTGAGTGGTGCAGACAACGGTCACTCTGGGATCAGGAATGGAACAGTATTGTCTTTAGTGACGAGTCTCGATTTTGTTTAGGCATGCACGATGGTCGTGCCAGGGTTAGAAGGCGACGTGGTGAAAGGAGGAATCCACAGTTTTTTGTTGAAAGACATGTTCATCACACTGTTGGAGTTATGGTTTGGGGTGCTATAGCTTATGGTTCCAGGTCACCTTTAATCTTCATCAGAGGTAACATGAACGCGCAGCGTTATATCCACGAAGTTCTAGAACCCCATCTTTTACCCTATCAAGATAATGCCCGGCCACATGTTGCAAGAGTCACAATAGACTTCTTTCAACATAATGATGTCACATTGTTACCATGGCCAGCAAGATCTCCCGACTTATCCCCAATTGAGCACGTGTGGGATATGATGGGTAGGAGATTGCTCAATTTGCAACGTTCTCCTCAGACTCTAGAAGCACTTCGAGAGGAGTTGGTGGTTGCCTGGAATGAGATACCACAGGAGGACATTGACCACCTGATCAGAAGCATGCTTAGGCGCGTTGCGGAATGCGTAGCACATCAGGGTGCATCCACACATTATTAAAGGTCAAAGGGCTTTAAAGCAGTGCAATCATTTTGAAATTTTTATCATTTACTTATTATGCTTCATTAAGTACTTATACAAAATTTTATTAAAATAAAACCATTTAAACTGGGTGTTCGGATTTATATGTCACTTAGTATATAATATCATGTCCTCTTCAATATGGTACTTGTATGTCCTGCTTTAGATTTCCGGCGTGCTGACAGTTCTGACTAAAGGTTATGTTGTTGTTTTGACGTTTAAGAAATTATAGACACATGAATCCAATGAAGAACCATAATTTACTATTTTCTGGCAAATAATTTCGATCAGTCAATAATACTTCGCTAGATTGAACAAATTCCACAACTTGTAGTATCTTCAAAAAATTGTTGGGTTAGGAAAATTATTACACATGGATATATTATAATATATTTGTATGTATATGTCCAGAAGCTTGCCAGGAAGCTGTTCTCTTGATGAAGGTAGGTAAGTTGAACCAAAACAAATCATTGCATATTCATATTATATATACTAAGTGACATATAAATCCGAACAGCCAGTTTAAATGGTTTTATTTTAATAAAAGTTGGTGAATGTATTTACCTTACTGTAAGTAACAAGTTAAAAAATTTTCAGCCTTATCAGTTGGACATTCCGGTTTTTATACTGCTTTTTTTTAATTCACCAACGCTCTAAAAATGAATATTTCAGCCGCAGTAAAGAATCAACGTTGGCGGATTTTGGTTCTTGACATCCTTTACGATCGGTTACGATGCCTAGACTACGGAGACCTGTACGATTTCGTCAACTTAGTGAGTTTGACAGGGGCCGTATAGTGGGACTTCGGGAAGCTGGACTTTCTCTTCGGGCAATTGCTGTTAGAGTGCAAAGATCTGTAGACACTGTGGTTAGGTTGTCAGGCATGGCTTCGAGAAGGCCGTACACAAAGAGTAAGGGGCACTGGACGCCGCCGTAAAACAACAGACCGTGAAGATCGCCGCCTAAGATTATTGGCCTTAATGGACCGTTTCTCCACTACCAGGTCCATTGCAAATGAATGGTTTGCAGAACACGGAAGACCTATTGACTTGCGAAGTGTTTACCGACGAATGAGAAGTTTTGGATTGTTTTCATACCGACCACACTGGGTCCTCCCTTTAACTCGAGAACACCGACGTAATCGCCTTGAGTGGTGCAGACGACGGTCACTCTGGGATCAGGAATGGAACAGTATTGTCTTTAGTGTCGAGTCTCGATTTTGTTTAGGCATGTACGATGGTCCTGCCAGGGTTAGAAGGCGACGTGGTGAAAGGAGGAATCCACAGTTTTTTGTTGAAAGACATGTTCAACACACTGTTGGAGTTATGGTTTGGGGTGCTATAGCTTATGGTTCCAGGTCACCTTTAATCTTCATCAGAGGTAACATGAACGCGCAGCGTTATATCCACGAAGTTCTAGAACCCCATCTTTTACCCTATCTTGACACCCTGGCAGAAGCAACTTTCCAACAAGATAATGCCCGACCACATGTTGCAAGAGTCACAATAGACTTCTTTCAACATAATGATGTCACATTGTTACCATGGCCACCAAGATCTCCCGACTTATCCCCAATTGAGCACGTGTGGGATATGATGGGTAGGAGATTGCTCAATTTGCAACGTCCTCCTCAGACTCTAGAAGCACTTCGAGAGGAGTTGGTGGTTGCCTTGAATGAGGTACCACAGGAGGACATTGACCACCTGATCAGAAGCATGCCTAGGCGCGTTGGAGCATGCGTAGCACATCAGGGTGCATCCACACATTATTAAAGGTCAAAGGGCTTTAAAGCAGTGCAATCATTTTGAAATTTTTATTATTTACTTATTATGCTTTATTAAGTACTTATAGAAAATTTTATTAAAATAAAACCATTTAAACTGGGTGTACTTATCGCATTATTTTCAGGTGTGATTCATTCTCACGACTTTATGAGGTGGTTCCTCCATGGATAAGAAACATTGTATGGCAAGTGCAATTATTGCGTTGTCGATGTCAGAGATGCTTTTTCGCAAATCATTGTGGGACTCTGGATTGTGGGTGATCAAAATGCCATGGTCATGTAGGATTACAAAAAATGAAGTGTTACAGAGAGCAAACAGAAAAATAGAGTTGTAGCATGAAGTAAAATCAGAAAAACTTTATGAAAAATTTCATAATTAATTACGAATGGGAAAATAACAGAAAATTGTGACTCATCAAGGGAATTATTTTCCTGTTAAACAAACTCCAAACAATTCAAACAACATTTTGGGTATGATTTTTTGACTATATATTTGTTCATAATTCCTGTTGTTATTTGAACCTTTTAGATATAAAGACTTCATTTGATTACTGATACTTATGTATTTTGACATACTATCTATGAATTCCTTAACAATTTCATGTATCATATTTTTCAGTTGGTACTTGCCGAATATAAACGAAAGAATACTTGGTAAAATAAATATTTTTTATTCTAGATTGTATACCCACGTTCAAAAATATCTAGAAATATAGATTTCATCAATTTTTAATCCTTCTTTTCTCTTAAAACCAATGTTTTTTCTCTAGCATGACGTTAACTAGATTATATGCTATTTTATAAATTACCAACTAAGTAAACAGCGTAAAAGGATAGCTAATCATGAACAAAGAAATCTTTCTAGTTTGGGGGCACATTAGATCATTTTGGAAAGCTAATTAACTTCTTGAAATATCCAATTTAAATACTCGTATATTGACTCTTATTTTTTTCCTCTAATAACGTTCCTTACACTGGAGTTATTGTCTTGGAACATTATCTTGTACCCTGGGCTTATCAGGATTGGATGTTCTTTGAGCAATGCCTCTACCGATCCATCGATTCGGAAACTGTTTCAGAGGCGGACCAATCCCATGGCCAGCACGCAGTCCCTATCTCACACCTATGGACTTTTTTGTGTGGAGTCGCATGAAAACTTTAGTATACTCTGATCAAAATCCTGTACCCACAATAGAAGACCTCAGAAACAGGATAATACATGCAGCACAACAAATTCTAGCCTTTCTTAGGAATTCGGCGGTAGTAAAATCAACTGTCATAAGAAGAGCATGTGTGTGCATTAGAAATAGAGGGCGCCATATTGAAAATGTATCATAAATATAAAGAAATGCAGTTTCAAACAAATCATCCTGTATTAAGGTAGGATTTTGTAGGTAAGTAGTATTTTTATTGCTTTTTCCTTCCTCCTTTTATGATAGTCATATTTTTGTCAATTCTTAATCGATTTATGATTTTTATACCTCATTTGAAAGGTAATGAAACGTAAATGTTTTCTAAGTATTTTGTACGAAAAATTTGTATGCGATTTTTTCTAGTAAACTGAAGCGTTTGAGATGAACGAAGATTTTTTTAACAAAACGATTTTGAAGCTTACTGCATGAGATAACGTCAATAATGTACATTTGAGTATCAATTTTCGTATTGTAGTATATTTTTATTGTAAAACCAAAAACAAGTCAACTGTAACACCCAATTTTCAAGTTTTATGACTTGGTTAACGTATAAAGGACGTTAATTTTAAGAAATCTTAAAAATTAGTATAACTCGAAAACGGCTAATTTTCGGCCAGTAGTTCCTATAGTAAAATCGACTCAGATTGGCTTGTACTATCTCCCCCCATGGGTTCCGCATCTATTTTCCCGTCACCCTGTATACAAGTACAACCATTATAACTATCTGGTAAGGGAGGCTGTGAATTATTCTGCAGCTGATGTCCAAAAACACAAACGACCAAGGTTAGCCCTACAATAAACCACCCACCGTGCAGCCAAAATAATTGTCAAACTGACATGTTGACATGCATTGACAATGAACCATTATTTTTTTGTCAAAGTCATGTCATTATCGGTGTCATGTGTTCTGTTGCTATTTTTTGTTGCCGCAAATGGTACCTTTCTCGAAGTGGGTATGAAAAATCCTTATAAATCTAGCAAACAATTGACTAGTCCACCACAAGTGTTGAAATCTACCTATGAAATATCGAATAGTGTGAATACTGAGCAAGACCCTCTGGATCATATTCTCTACTTTGACGATGCAAGGGGAATTAAAAGAGGCAAGAAAGACGCAAAGGTACTTCCTTAGTTTTAAAATAATACAATTTAATGTTCGCTTACAGATTATAGACAATTCAAAATAGATACTTGTTGGCGGTTAATAAATAGTCTTAGGAAATATGATTCAAAGATTTAGCACGGCCTGTTTGTCATTTGTAAAATTAATTATAACTATTTATTCACCACTACGTTTATGGAACATTTGGGACAATCATTCGTGATTTAAATTTAAAGCAGCCATGTTTCAGCCATAGAACGCCGCAAAATATTATAATGCATTAGAAATCAATAATAAGGATACAACAAATCATCTTAAATTTAAGTCACTATTAAAACATATATTGTCAATATACTGTAGTAACATAGAAGTTTTGGTAGCATTTTGTTGAATAAATTTTATGTGCACAGTAACACTAACTTTAAGCAACATTTGATACTTTATTCCATTACGTATAAATACAGTAATAGGCTTTTTTTAGTTTAAAATATACTTAAATTGGACTTTTTTATATTTTAAAATATTGAGCAAATAGCTAGACTCCGCCATTTGCATCATACTTCCAATGTTACGTTGTAATGTTATTGATGCAAAAAAAAACATTTTGGTATCAATCGAATATAGTTGTGTGAACGATCTATCATTTCTATTTGACTCCTCAGGTTTGGGACCACTGGGGCAAATGGTCAGCTTGCAGTGTTAGCTGCGGTGTAGGAAGAATGACAAGATGGCGACACTGCCTTTCTCAGAGCTGTGAACTTGGTGAAAAAGAAGCACAAATCAAAACATGTAATCTGAATCCTTGTGGCTAGTCATAAATTATAGTTCATATATCCACACTGATTCTACGATATAAGGAACTATTACCTTAATATACTATTTTGGTTCTAGAAGAAATTCTCAGCTTTGTCACACAGAAAGTTTGTTGTTTTACGCTTTTTGGCAACTCATCAACATGGTCTAAGTCTAGGCTTAGTGACCAGCCTCTATGCAGAATATAAGGTCTATCGAAATAAGACCATCTATTGCCAGAATCGACCACTGCGAGAGTGAAACAGATGCGTAAAATTAGTGAGGCTGGACACATGTAAATATACTATCGATCGAATCGATAATGATCAAAAGACACCTCGTAGGTATGTTGTTTTCAAGATTGATTCAGCTTATCTTGAAAATTCTTTCTTGAGTGAGAGAAGAAAACACCTCCGTCGTCTTCTTATACAAACTTTTGCATGGTATTATGTTCCAGCCTCGTCTCGTAAATAGAACAGATGTAGTCCCTCGTTTCCCAGCAACCGCGCCCTTCCATCTTGCTCCTCCCCGGCCCCTGGACTACAAACTCTCGTTTTCTTCAAAGCCAACTTGTTGCAACAACTGGGTGATGCATAGAGAGGAAGCTATTTACTTCGAGTGGCCTTCCCGTAATTAAGATCGAACATCACTTACAGGTAAGTTCGTTTGATCATGTAATTGTTGATTCTTTAGAACTGTTATCCCAGCTCCAATTTTTAGTTCCAAAGACATGTTTTAAAAACTACAACGTAGCTTTAAAATCACCTGTAAGTGTCGTGTGCATGAACTTCAACAGAATATGCAGCTTTCGTGATATCTTTCTGTGTTCTCTTTGCCATGTTTTATTAATCTTTGTTCTTCTCTTAAATTTGAACGAATTATGATAGTATTGCTTTTTTATTGTTAGGCTAGATTTCAATTCTTAGTCCCGTAAACGGATTATAATAATTCTGCATGATTAATATTGTTATTATTAAATATGTGGCTACTAGATTTTGACTGACTTGATCCATTTCATTTTTTCTCGAAGGGGCTAACATGCGCCTACCATGATCGGCCTAACGGAAAAAAATGGGACAAACCTAACGAAAAAAATGGGACAAGCCTAATGAAAACAAGTAGGACAGTACTGACGAAAAAAATTGGGACAAACCTAGCAAAAAAGGGGGACAAACTCAATGGAATAAAGAGAGGCAAACCTAACGAATGAAGTAGGACAAACCAAACGAAAAAAAGTGGGACAAACCTGACGAAAAAACTGGGACATACCTAACTTTTTGATGCAGTGGTTTAGTTAGGTTTTGGTTTGGTTTGTCCTCTGTCATGTGTCTTCTGTCATGTGTAATCTGTCGATCTAACGAAAAGGAGTGAATCACACGTAATGAAGAAAGTGGGCCAAGCCTAACGTAAAAAAGTGGGACAATACTAACAATGAAACTGAGACAAACCTAACGAAAAAAGTGGACAAACCAATCGAAAAGAAGTGGGACAAGTCCAACGAAAAAAGTGGGACAAGCCAAACGAAAAAGTGGGACAAACCTAACGAAAAAAGTAGACAAAAAAAACGAAAACAAGTGGGACAAACCCAACGAAAAAAATGGGGCAAACCTAACTTTTTGATGTAGTGGTTTAGTTTGGTTTTGGTTTGGTTTGTCCTCTGTCATGTGTCTTCTGTCATCTGTCGATCTAACGAAAACAAGTGGAATACACGTAATGAAGAAAGTGGACAAACCTAACGTAAGCAAGTGGGACAATCCTAACAACGAAACTGGGACAAACATAACGAAACAAGTGGACAAACCAAACGAAAAGAAGTGGGACAAACTCAACGAAAAAAGTGGGACAAGCCAAACGAAAAAGTGGGACAAACCTAATGAAACGTAGTGAGACAAACCTAACGAAAAAAGTGAACAAACCAAACGAAAACAAGTGGGACAAGCCCAACGAAGAAAGTGGGACAAACCTAACTTTTTGATGTAGTGGTTTAGTTTGGGGTTTGGTTTGGTTTGTCCTCTGTCATGTGTCTTTTGTCATCTGTTATCTGT